TTTCTTTATTTAATTCAGATGGATTATATGTATGTGTGAACAAATTTAATTTATGTTTTTGTTTTTTTAAACGGGTCCCGAAAACAAAACTCGATAGTTCGAGATTATATAAATAAAGAAGTCGAGTCGATACCTGGTTTTATATCATTATAATTTCCACGGGATATTTGAAATCTTATGAATAAATACTGTTTCCATCTGGACAAAAATCTATTTCTATAACTATTTGCTGATTCAAAGTTTTCTTTTCTATTACTATTTACACAAGTCGTAGCTTATATAAATCCATCTGCCTTAAAAAAAAATATGTACAGAAATATAAATACATTGTTTAAAATTATGATCATAAATAGATTTAAACAGTAAACCGGTTGGCACAAAAAAGTAGGACGTTAAACCCATGATATGTCATGATTAAGATAAATGCAAATGAGTTAATACTGAGACGGTAAAGTAAGTCAGTTTGTTTTTTTAAGTAAATTTTGTTGAATAACTAAAACAACAATAAGGTGTTATAATTTCATGCTTAAAGTGTAACAATGTCAATCATGGGAATCGGAATGTTGTTTAAATGATTAAAACAACAATCATATTGAGTTTTATATAGACCCGTTTTTACACTGTGTATGTTGTTTGTATTATTAAAACAACTGTGTCCAGAAAAACAAAATAGGTTTTGTTTATCTTAATCTTCAACGAGAGCACCGATCAGATATCAAGGCAATCAACTATTTGTGGGCTGATATATAAATGCAATGCGCCAGTTCCAAGATATATATTTAACTTCCACTGTTGTGCCCTTCAGACGCAATTATTCATATTTTTACTCGGTTGTTGATAATCACCATGAAGTCAGCTTGTGAACTTACAGACCATTCGATCGACAGTATAATGGGTATGTTTGTAATGTTTTTTAGTTATGAAGTCAATTTGAAAGCGTAACACAGCTACTGAATCTATTCAAAGCCACGTTTCGATGATTTCATATTTTTCAACAAGTAGACGACATGAAGGATCCACAATATGTTTGTAATTTCCCTGCCACTCTAAGTTATAATCGACTAATTAATCTTTTAAGCGGTTTAATGTCACTTAAATGATCATTTATTGATACTACAAGTATTTCGGAAACTCGCACAAAACCAGGCATTATTTCTATTCTATTGTAATACAAGAAAAAATAACGATAAACGTTTATGAATATTCCCTCCGCGATCAGAAGACTTATTTATTAAATTGTCATATTTTCAGCTCAAAGAAACACCACCACCAAGAACAAGACATCTCAGATTATAGACGATGTAACAGCTCTTAGATTACATTATAGTTTTAATGCGTATAGTAGATGTCCAGATGCTATCCAGATAGAATCACTATCGCTCAAACTGAATGTCAGCCCTTCTGCTATAAAGGTAAGTGAAATAAGTCATTCAACATGTTCAACAGACAGGCGCTTTCCTGGATAAATTGTCATATCTTTATCGAATTCATCTTCTCATCGTCAAATGGTATCACTTGTTCTAAAATGATTAAGAAAGACCAAAAACTGATTTAAAAAAAAAAGCTCTCCACACCAACATTATCTGTGCGAAGGTTTCATTTATGTGACGTTTTTGTTTTCCAGACGTGGTTCCGTAATCAAAGACAGCTCGCCCACAAAAAGAAATCAGTCTGCAGTCAAGTTACAGGACTGAAACAGAATGTCGTAGCGCAACAGCCACCACCACTTACTGAAGCAGACCACCCATACTTCCAAACGATAACCCACAGACTCCACACAGAGAAAACATCACAACTTTCATCTATCAATGAGAAGCTTGGAATATTACCTGTTTATCAGCAACGACCACCACCTCTATCTACTCTATCTGACGTCGACAATGCATATCTTCGGTCTTTATCCAAACGATATAACAGGACTTCGCCTATCAAAAACGCGTCGAGAGCAATTCCAGGACTTATGGTAAAGTTAGAACAACCAACATCGGCAGGATCATCATCGTCAGATACCGTTATTTACCCTTCCTTTCAATCCATAGTTGAGGCACACAAACTGAAGACGACGACACCCAACACACATAGACCATCATCAATTCACATTCCATCTGCAAGGCAACAACCACCAATTCTACCAAGATCTGATCACCTGATTTCTCGAGGTAAGCACAAAATAAATAAACGTCATAACGTTTATATTAATAGAAGGCATATTATATGAAAAGAAATGGGGTTTAACGTCTGTACTAACCGGTGAAATGATGAATGGCGTGCGCTATGCCGTGTGCTGCGAGGGAAATTTATAGAAGTAATCCATTCTTCTGTGCAGTTCTTGTTCATTCCATTAGAGATGGATTTTTAGAAGTACTTGCGCAAGAACGTTTTTAAATGCCCAAATTAACAAGTTTAGTATTCAGACGTTATATTATAGGCCTATATTTCAGAAGGAGAAGACAAAGAAAATATTGTTGTAAAAATTAGTGGTCAAGATGAAATTCTCACTTCAAAACAGATGGTCGAGTATATGAAACAAATTTACAGTAAGACCAACTTAACTTCAAATAGTCGTATACAAAAACGTTCACAGAGAGGTGATGGACTTCGGAAGCTAGCGTTGGGTAGCAATAATAGTGACAAGGTGTAAGCATGCTGTATTATGCCAGAAAATCCCAGATAGATGTTATGTAATAAGCTAATTACGAACATGTTCCACCAAACGGTATGCTGTACGGTGACCCTCTTGGGGCCGAATTCTGTAATTTTGTAATTTTAATTTAAACACGTATGCTTATAATCTATACTCCACAGGCTAACAGTAAACATGCGCCATATTTATAAATAATTTAATGTCGTATCCTTCGTATTTTGAATTTCAAGTGCTAATTCTACTTATTATTTCTGAATGTTAATTAATATAGTGTTGTATATAATAATTATTATAGTGCTAATATCAGTAGAAAGGATTTTGTTGGGGTTTTTTTTCGTTTTTTTTTTGGACCAGGAAATTGGGGGCGATAATAAAACAAAGATCGATAAGCTAGTTCCTTTGACAGTTGTGTAAATTTGATTACGTTATACTCGGTTCCTGCTCCATTATCAACCAACTGATTGCTATGGGAACATGTAGACATCATTATAATATGATGAATCAGTATTGTAAGGCGAAGTCATGGAACACCATGCGTGGGTGTGGGCCATATATGTGGGTGTGGGTTTACATTTTAGTGGAAAAAATCACGTGGTTTCAATGCAATTTACAAAACAAGGTAGGACAGATTCTGTCTATGCTCCGCCCATAATTTCTGGGTAAACACCCGCTCACCAATCCTTGCAGGCCCCATTAACGATACAAATATTGGGTTTGTATGCTCACACATGGTCATACAGCAACAGCAGCCTACACGTACCAGAAATACTGTTACCAATTTGACAAAAAGGGAGATAACTCTCTATTACCGTTAATGGATTTCCAAAATTCTGTATGTTCCATTGTCCATTATGCTTTCTGCATTTTACGCTATTTGAGAACGAAGGGCGGCCATTTTGTCTGTCAATTTTGAGCTGAATTTCACGAAATTCGAACTCAGTCGTACTTAGGGTGTAACGGTTATATACTTATACGTTTTTTTAAATCGGATAAAAATTATGACCTCTATAGGGTCCACAAGCTAAAAACGTGATTCAGGAAGTTATGGTCCGATATGCGCGAATGTCAATAGGAACTGAGATCTTTGTGTTACATTTCAAGTTTCAACAAAATCGTATAAAAATTGTGACCTATAGGGTCCACAACCTTGATATACCATATTTTTACGCTATTTGAGAACGAAGGGCGGCCATTTTGTCTGTCATTTTTGGTCCGATTTTCACGAAATTCGGACTCAGTCGTCCTTGGGGTGTAACGGCGATTTAATAATATGTTTTTTTAAATCGGATAAAAATTATGACCTCTATAGGGTCCACAAGCTAAAAACGCGAGGGGCCATAATTCAGGAAGTTACGGTTCGATATGCGCGAATATCGAAAGGAACCGAGATCTTTAGGTTATAAACTTACATTTAAAGTTTCAACAAAATCGGATAAAAATCGTGACCTCTATAGGGTCCACAACCTTGATATACCATATTTTTACGCTATTTGAGAACGAAGGGCGGCCATTTTGTCTGTCAGTTTTGGACCGATTTTCACGAAATTCGAACTCAGTCGTCCTTATGGTGTAACGGTGATATAATTATACGGTTTTTTTTAAAATGTCATTCGCATGAAGATAGTTCGACTAGAGTTCGGAAATCCGTGCAACTGACGGTAGCCCTGTTGTGGACCATCTAGACTGAGGTCACAATTTATTTGCGATTTGCACTTATAGGGCCGTATCTTTCTGGATTATGGACCGTGATTGTACGAAAAATCACCATGGAACTCTGTGGATTTGTGTTCCTGGTGTTAAAAGCTTTCCAAAAATGTATACATGTAGTTTGTTTAGTACGTACGGGACCTTGTAGCGGAAGTTCATACTAGAAATTTTGGCTGCAGGCCTAGGGGGGGTTGGGTGGCTGAATGGATAGCGTGCGCGTGCTGTATCATAAAGTCTGTCATTGAGTCGACTGGCATGGTTTCGAATCCCCAGTTGTACGTGACAAGGAGTAGGGTTGCCTGTCCAACCTCATGGGTTTTCTCTGGGTCCTTCGGTTTCCTCCCACTGCTAAAGCGAATTATTGAAATAAAATTAAACCATGTGTTAGTCCCGAAATGACCTAGTTTGTGTCAAGTGGACTTAAACCCCATTTCTCTCTCTCTCGCTGCAGGCCTATTTATTTAGGTACCTAAAAGCCAACTCTCCTACAAAATGTTGTTATGTAAGCAAATATCAGTTTGGTCCATCTAGACTGCCTGGTCCCCTTGGAACTGTATTTGAACTATCTGATTAAGCACCACCCATGCAACATAAATAAATTTGGTTGAAAGTCCCCATAACAATAGACAATAGATTTTATAATATTACACATATTTATATATATTATTATTTATTTTAAGCATAACAAAGAACTGTTGAGTAATCATGAAATAATACATGTAGGAGGGTATTTTAATGAGACTACATGGTTGAATGATTTTGAGGTATATCCCTGAGACACAGATATCATCTAGTCTCATCAAAAAAGATAAATAATTTTATATAGTTTATGCACATTAAAGGTCTGTCAACTAATAGCATCAAGTACAATTTTTGAAAAGGATCCATGATAAATATTATTGCAAAATTAAACAGGCAACATTATATTACCAAGAATCTAAATCTTTAATTTTATAATTGACCTAGATGGAGGAATGGTAAAAACATATGCATATGGATAGCCAATATGAATTAAAATCCAAAAATAATTTGTCATCCATATGCATCAAAAGCCAAAGCACAGTATATTTTATAAGCAAACAGAAAATGAACTAATCTTACATGATGAAATGTCATTGTGGTTATATGGACAAATATACCAATGCCTGGCCCCATACAGTTTGAAAATCAACATGCTCTAATAATGTAAGTTTGAGGGTCAAACTAGCTATATACAAATTACAGTACAAATCTTTAGCCTATAAAATTATTCTCAGTGGTCTACTTTGTTTTAAAATTTCTCTCTTGGGTATAATTGTCAGTGACCTTCACTCTTAATACTTTATAATTAATATCAGCCAAATTTTCCAATTATTTTTGTCTTTTCAGAAGATAAAATCACACAGTACATGTACATCATATGAGCAGAGGTGAGGATAAATTATTTTATAAATAAAGAAGATTTACAGTTTAGGAGCCTATATCGAATTTCAATTTGCATATGGTCACAAGTGCCTTACATAATGAAAATACATACACATATATAATAAAAGGAAAGACATAAGAGTAGGTAGTTTCTCGTAATTTCCAATGGCTCACAATAGTCACAACCTTATTTTCTACAAAATCATTCAGATTTTAATAGTTTATTATTGATTTAGCAATGAAACGGTTTGAAGAATTATGCCTTTTGGGGGAAAAGAACTGCAATAATGTCCTCCTTGAAATCATTATGAAAGATTTCAATATCTATTTTAATTTAATGAAAAGGTCTAAGGGTAAATAGGTCATGCCAGTTCTCCAATTCTATTCATTTATTAATAAGATATTGTTTATAAAAAATCAAAAGAACTAATTATAGCATCAGATTTTTTCATTATTTTGTCTATGACTCACAAAAAATAGTGTTTTTGTATCTAGCTGAATAAAAATACAGGTCTAAAAGAAAAAGGTGTACAGTATATATAGTTAGCAGTAGGTTTAGGTATATAGTTGAAGGGAGATAACCTACAATATTTATGGAAATTACTACAAATAATGACTTATTGACACATCAAATCACTTATATTGTATTATACTATTTTATATATCTGTATAGCAATATTTATTATTTAGAAATAACAAACCCTTGATTAACCATGTGTAGCAGTACCAGGATTTCTGGTAGGGGTTGATTTCAAGATGGTTCCCTTTTCTTATTATAACAAGTAGCAGTATCATGATATGTTTAAAGTGGGGTTAATTTCCATATAAGATGGTTCTCTTTTTGTGAATAAAATGGGGTTTAACATCCTACTGTTTTGATCTGACAGCCATTTTTCCAACCTGGGTCTTAATAGAACATCCAATTTTCATCAATTGTTGGTTAATGTGGGACAATACAACACTGACAATAGACAGCAGTTTGATGCATCAATAAGCATGCTGAATAATAGTACCACTGTAGTTAAATTGGTCTTGAACACCTTGAAATATATACTATGTATAATATAATAATATTCAATCTATTTTACAATTCAAACAGAAAATATATTTAAAAAATATAAAATCATTCATAAATCTATTTTATTTTTATTTTTCTATAATGTCAACATTCGCTCCAAATCATAATAATATATTAATTATATACATCACAGAAATGTTTTACAGGAAAAAATATGTTCTCATTTCTATTTGATTCGTTCCGTTTTTGTATCTTTTTGAAGCTTTTCCTTAAAACTTTGTTTTAAAAATAAATCTTTATCATATTCTTTATCTTCTGGATGTAACAAAACATAATCTGTAAGAACTGGATGTCCTTTACGCCACCATTGAATAAATGATCCCAAAATTAATATTGTCATTGCTATGGCAACCAGAATAACTGCAGTTTCCAGGCTCTTTCGTTCCACATGTAGGATGAGGGATTGTTTGATATCTGAAATGATAGAAATAGAAAAGGGTATTATTAAAATGACAAGATAATTCTATACTTCCTACATTATTAAGCAAGAAATCAAATAAATTGCATCAACTTTGGGGATAAAATCAATCACGTGCTGGTGTAAAAACAATTTTAATTTCAATCAGTCTGTCAGGACCATTCAGCTTATGATTTAAAAGCTTACACTTTTAACATCCAGAAACTTATTTACGTTTCCATGGTTACCAGGCTGATTGGAAAAGATTTTCTGAATAAAATATAAAATGTACTCAATTTATATGAAAAGAATCCCCCCCCCCCCAGTTCACAAAGCTAATAATAGCTATTGATTCACACAGAAATCATTTAGTTTACCATGGATTATTTTTGCAAGTTCATTCCTTGTATACAAAAAAATGCCAGCTTTGTGCACTCCCCAAATAGAGAGAGAGAGAGAGAAATGGGGTTTAACGTCCACTCGACACAAACTAGGTCATTTCGGGACTAACATATGGTTTTTTAATTTTATTTCAATAATTCGCTTGCGCGTAGTGGTCTTTAGCAGTGGGAGGAAACCGGAGGACCCGGAGAAAACCCACGAGGTTGGACAGGCGACCCTACTCCTTGTCACGTACAACCGGGGATTTGAAACCACGCCAGTCGACTCAATGACAGACTTTATGATACAGCGTGCGCACGCTAACCATTCAGCCATCCAACCCCCCCACTCCCCAAATAAGAAATGATATCAGGTGTTTTAAAGATAGTTTATGTTTTGATGTAGTTTTCCATCATCGTCTATTTGGATAACCACTAGGCAGTAAAGATCGTAACCAACTGTAATCTGTTCAAATATCAAGAAATGAAACTAAACAAATTCAAATCATTGAGCACAGATGTTGTTATTCATGTGGCAGGGTATGCGAAAATAAAGTTTCATAGTTTACATGGCTAACAAAACTTCTAGCTGATTGTTATAATAATATGCTAGCTGTATTATATTGATCCATTTCCTTAAAGTTTCATTCTTTCAGTAACAAAGTTTTGAAATTAATAACCATGACTCCAATTATAAGCATCTTGTAATACCTGAAACAGCATCAACTACTCGAAACAAACATAACTTTAAGACATTTAACAAATCATGTGAATAAAGCATTACTTCCATTGTAGGCTTGCATTGCCTAGAGAGCAAAGACACTCATATTGGCTCAAGAAAGCCGGGTTTCAATTGAGAGAGTTCAATTACCCTTGTACATGTATATGAATATTGAGACAACAGATTCTTACGTTACTTCCTTTAAAAGTTAAAATAAGCTATTGATGCATGAGCCATGAAAGTATAACAGCCAGGTTATTCTAAATCCTTTTTGTTTGGTTTGATTCTGTTTACAACTGTTTATTAACATTAACTGTGTTTTTATCTTGTGATGATAAGTGGAGAGCTAAATACGCCTTCAGCATTAACTTTGATGGATCTGTGTGCAATATAAGTACTCACTATTATTATTATTATGCTTTAGGCTGCATCTTTAGTTAAATTTTTAAAGTGTCAAGGTATTACATTGAAAGTATACAGTACATAAAACATCAGTTTGTGGAATCCACGCCCACCATATCCTCATGATACACAATCCTAATACAGCAAAAGTATTTCTTTTAAACACAGGATAGTAGACTAGATCAGATTTAGTTTGTAAAAACAAAATTCAATCTTCAATCAATAAATAACATCTGCCCCTGGAACCATACTGACTTGTGACTATAGTAACCACAAACAGCTAATTTACAGTTGTATTAAGTGTTGAATAAAGTGAAATACATCTTTCATTGACTTCCTAACAAGTGGACAAGTATTTGAATTGATTTCTGGTACAAGTTTGTATAAATTATACCCTTGTGTATTAAGATTCAGTCTTTAGTATCTAATGCTTTTGTTATCAAACCCATATGAAGGAGACTATTGTGAACCATTTAACCATTTTTTCAATTTGAACTAATTCTGGAAAATTAAAATGCTTATGTTAAATCATTTAACATAAGCATTTTAATTTAAATGCTCTCATAATAAAAAAAATGAACTTTTCAATGTCATACTCATTCTTCAAACACAGAACTATCTACATGTACTTTGAGAAAAGATCTCTGCCCTGAATGGCCACCATAAAACGATGGTTGCCAGGCAATGAAACATACGCCCACAGCAGCCAATCTGAAGTCAATCGGATATTAACTTTAGCCTCTAGAGTGTCCACAAGATATTTCAAAGTTATTAAGGGCCATAACTCTGGCAGTAATTATCGGATATCAATAGGCTTCTTCATCTCTTGACCATAAACATTGTGTATAAATTTCAAGTCAATCGGATATTAACTTTAGCCTTTAGAGCGAGAGAGAGAGAGAGAAATGGGGTTTAATGTCCACTCGACACAAACTAGGTCATTTCGGGACTAACATATGGTTTAAGTTTATTTCAATAATTTGCTTGCGCGTAGGGGTCTTTAGCAGTGGGAGGAAACCGGAGAACCGGGAGAAACCCCACGAGGTTGGACAGGCGACCCTACTCCTTGCCACGTACAACCGGGGATTCGAAAACACGCCAGTCGACTCAATGACAGACTTTATGATACAGCGCGGGCACGCTAACCATTTAGCCATCCAACCCCGCAGCCTTTAGAGCATCCACAAAGATTTTTCAGAGTTCACTGTGTATAAATTTAAATCAATCGGATATTAACTTTAGCCTCTAGAGCATCCACAAGATCTTTCAAAGTGATCAAGGGCCATAACTCTGGCAGCAATTATCGGAAATTGCTGAAAATCAATAGGTTGCTTCGTCTCATGACCTTGAACACTGTGTATAAATTCTAAGTCAATCGGACGGGGGCGACGACACTATACGATCACATTTCAATGTCGGCGTATAAAAACTAAAAAATCTTTTCCAATTTTTTTAAAGATGAAAATGGAAGCATAATAAATATATGTCAAAATTTCATAAACACAAAAACTAAATAATCTTTTCCAGTTTTATTAAAGATGATAATACATATATGTCAAAATTCTCGAAGTACACTTCATGTTTTCAACTAAAATCATTGAATCAAAATGTCGGTCAACTAGCTTCCTTGCTGTTCTCATGCGGAGTTAATTGTTGACAGACATCGTTTTGTATGTGTGATATTAGCTGGAAGAGACATATTAGCTATCTTACAGTGTTAAAGCTGTTGGAACAGCTTGTGGAAGTTTACAATTGACTGACAATCAATAAAAAATAAAATCTTCTTCATGAAAAATTATTTCCACTTCCCATCACCCAATATTATTTTTCAGCATCCATGTTTGAATCATTGCTACATTAATACAACCACTGTGTTCATTCAATGTATAGAGCTCTAACAAAGGCCCAACATCAAATAAACTGAGGTTTAAATGTCTTATTTTTTCTGCACCAATCAGGCTAATGAAGATGTACATACCGTACGCCATGCATTGACCGATGAAAAAGTTTTGCCTGGACAGCTGTACTATGGCCTGTTCTTTTTTCAAATTCCAACTGTAATGGGTTCTTACGTACATACCAATGTGTAAATACACAGAACCTCAGTTTTTTGTCCTATCCAAATGACTAGACACTGTTTCTCGCCAGGTCTTCTGTCCTACACCACTGATACAGGGAAACCAAGCTGGAAAATCCGGCAAACTCAAGACTGTATGACCAGGTAGTATTTCACACAGCCATTCACCCAGTATAAGGTAATAGACTTACACCATAAATGGGCACTCAAGATGGATTATCTAAAGTGAGTTAACAATAGTCAGCTATGACAGAGATAATAGACAATTAGTAGTAATGAGATAATCCATCTATAAACATTACATAATCAAGGCCCAAATAGTCAACGTAGTAAATGAATGAATGGATGTCACTTAAATACTACCCCTTAACAACTATGAAATATTATTAAGTGTAAATATATATAATTACTATGAATTGTTTATTGTTACCAAGTAACCTCTAGTATATTAGAGGAAAGATTGTAGATCGGAAGGTAGAAAAACCGCAGGCAGGCAAGGGACATACTGAAGGGCAGGTCTCTGATAAGTTATTTCTTAGATGCTGTTCCTTATTAAGTTACCTAGCCTGTGGGTCAATATATTATTACTGTTTAAAATACAGATGTGACGTCATCCTTTGAGTACCATTATTTCAAATAATCGTACGGGCAATGTGCCAAGCGTAACTTCGTTAAATATTGAACTCGAGTGACGTATTTCATTGCAAAGCACGTGCAAGTGTCTGCATTTTAAGTTGTTTAATGGTCTCGAGCTTAAGACATTGCGTAATATATTGTAAAAACATTCGGGCCTCACGGCCCTCATGTTGTTACTATATATTACTTAATGTCTCGCTCTCAACCATTACAATACAGAATATAAGATTATACCAAGAAGAAAGAGTTATTGAATTATTGTATGTTCAATCTCACACCCCCAACTAGATTGAACATATACTATTCAAAAAAAGTAGGGGATATTTGATTTTTAAGTGTTATTAAAGTCACCTAATGAAACTGACGAAGAAACAAATGACAAAATGAAATGAAGTTCACATTCATCGATTTATTCCAAATGATCGTTAGACTAAGTAAGGCACAGACTGACCATTATAAGGGTAAAATGATACCCGGGGTCAAACAGCAAAGTTACCACAGCATCACAACCAAGTCAGTAACGGGTAAATCCTCCTCTGTTTGCCAAACAAGCATTGATCCGACGTGGCATACTCCTAATGAGACGTCTAAGGTCATTTTGGTCCAGATTGTCCCATTCCTGTTGCAACGCAGCAGCAAGTTCTTGGACATTGGCAGGACGTTGTTGACGTTGACGTAACCTCTGTCCAAGCATGTCCCAGACATGCTCGATGGGGGAGAGGTCGGGACTCAGTGCTGACCAAGGTGATGTGGTGATGTTCTGTTGTTGGAGGTAACCTGTAACGATCCTGGCCCTGTGAC